GTCTAGTTTTGCCTAGCAATTCTGTTAGATTGACTTTCTGGTTTTGCTTCCCAGATCTGCTGGGTGTAACTTGTATTAGGCCATTTCTTTTCCATAAGGTGCCTTAGGCAAAATAAATAAATAAAGACTCACAATGCAATGCAATGCAAGGCAATGTTTGTTTGCTAGGCCAAGTGCGGCTTCTGGATGCAAATCCACTGAGACTTGGGCACTGAAGCTGTTTCACAGCATAGTTTATCTTCTGGAATATATGCAAAAGCACTTCAATATTATCACAGGAAATTAGCTTTGCCAGTCAAAATTCATGCCAGAGATCCCTCAGTAGAGGCACCATAGAACTTAGAAGCACCCCTTTCATGTATAATCATCTCTCTGCATTTTTTGCATTTCACAGGATCCCCGTGAAAGTCAAAATCCTCAAACAAATAAAATGCTATTTTAAAAACGTTTTTTGAAAATGATTTTTATTATTTTTATTTTATTTTTTTGGTTAACTTCTTGCTGTTGATAGGTGGCGCCCCAATGACTTCTCTTGATAGTCCACCAGCCATTATCCAAATGGGAAGAAGCCCATGCTTATGTTGAACAAATTCCAGTTGGGATGCTCTCCTGTGACAAAGTCAGCCTCAAATGAAAAGAGAAGACATAACTTGTCCCTCTGCTGTAAATGTGTTGGGTGGGAACTCTGAAGTTGGAAACTCTGAGGCTCCTTCCACACTGCTCGTGTATCGCAAGATCTGATTCCGGATAATCTGTTTATCCTAGATTATTTGGTAGCGTAGACTCATATAATCTAGTTTAAAACAGACATTCTGGGATCAGATCCTGAGATATAGGGCAGTGTAGAAGGGGCCTGAGACTCAGTTGTGTCTAGATATATTGGAACTTTGTTTGCAGTGTGTAATGCTACTATTTTGAAGTGCAGGCTTGTACTATGGCATACTTCCATAGCAGGAGTGGCTCAACCCATTACGCAAAGTAAGCATTTGCAGTATAGTTGATTTTGCCCAGGGGCGCTCTTGAGGCACTCTTGGGGGAAAATAGACCTTGACATATGCGAGTTGTAGTTACTGGGATGTGTAGTTCACTTACAAACAAAGAGCATTCTGAACTCCACCAGTGATGGAATCGAGTCAAATATGGCACACAGAACTCCCACGACGAACAGAAAATATATATCAGTGATTGGTTGGGGGGGGGGGGGGGAAATACTGTTTGCTTACTGTTGAAAATTACTTAGGGCCGCCTCTGTTCCATAGCCATTCACCAAGGTTTTGTTTTTTTAAATGCAGGTGGCAATATTGATTATTTCAGTTTCTCAGGACTAATTTTTTTTCATCTCTACCTGGAGTGGGTCTTTTATAAAGTGAATGGATCTTAATTCCCCATTCAAGTCTGGATAGTGTCAAAATAATTTGCATTACAACAGAGCTCACAGTCATCTCTTGTTGCTCGGAAAATCTATTTTAGTGGTGATGACTGCCACTAAAGTAAAAGGAAAGCGGGAATCCTGATGTGTGTGAGGGCATGGACTGTGACATCTTGCTAATCAAAAAGTCCCCATACATGGTCCAATAGTGGCTTTCATGTCAGCAAAGTGATGAATCAGCTTCCGGTTTTAGCTCAGACTTTAAAGCTGCTATCTAAGGCCCCTTCCACACATTGAACTGGATTATATGGCAATATGGACTCAACCCAATGCAAAGCAGATATTGTGGATTACCTGCCTTGATATTCTGGGGGTCCTTCCGCACAGCCCTATATCCCAGAATACCAAGGCAGAAAATCCCACATTATATGCTTTGAACTGGAATATATGGCAGTGGGGACTCAGATAACCCAATTCAAAGCAGATATTGAGGGATTTTCTGCCTTGATATTCTGGGTTATATGGCTGTATGGAAGGGCCCTAAGTGTTGAACACAAGATTAAGTACCTTGGACAGCTTCTTTAAACTTTTGAGTAAGACCCCTTCCACACAGCTCAATAAAATCCCACATTATCTGTTTTGAACTGGAATATATGACGGTGTGGACTCAGATAACCCAGTTCAAAGCAGATATTGTGAGATTTTCTGCCCTGATATTCCGAGATATAGGGCTATGTGGAAGGACCCTAAAACTTGGCATGGAATTGTTGTGCCGCTCATGTGGAAGCCGCTGGTGGTCCTGCTGGCTTGATCCTTGTAGGAGATTCAAGTCTTAATGGAGACACAGAGAAGGGCTGGCTCTTTAAGCTCATCATGCCTTTAGAAAATTAACATGAGCAGTGAAGAGGGTAGTAAAAACACGAATGATGATGTATAACATGCTATACCCATCTCAAAGACAAGGCATGCTTGTTACAAGATAAATTGAATGTACATTACTGGGGAAGGTAATAACTGAGGAAGGTTAGAAGGGAAGAACAGATTCTACATGTGTAATCCAGAAGCTGGACCCATACTAGCTTGAAGCAAAGCGAAAAGCGGTTGACTACGCCTTTCAAGTCTTTGATCAATTTGTTTGTGGCTGTTATCAGATCAGCAGAACATGTCAAGGCACCTCAGAACTTACCCTGAATTCACTAGGAACATAACACATTTTGCATGCCTAAGCAAACTGTTTTCTTCAATGTGAGAGTGTGTGTTATGTGCCGTCAAATCATCTGTCAGCATATGGGGACTCCATGAATGTCCTTGTGGATCATGTCTTTTTTAGTTTGTAAGCAGAGAATTGTCAAATTAACCATTTGTATGCTGCACTGAGCACCTTTGTGGGTATAAATTCCATATTAGTTATTTATTCCTTTGCATCCTGTATTTTTTTCTACCATCGTCTGTATAATTTTCTTTGCTGAATAAAGAAAAAGTGTGTGTGTGTGGGTAGATGCAAATGATCGCCAGACTCACACAAGACTTCCTTGATTGTAACATGAGTGTCTTTCCCTGGATAACTCACATGTGTTTTATGCAACAGTGTTTGAGGGAGGAAGTTTTGCAAAAGCTCATTGATAGCCCAGGAGGAGAAGCAGAGCTTTCTGTACTGGAGGCAGGTAGGCAAGACGGATTGAAGAGGTTTAAGGGGTGGGTGAGGGTTAGTTAACTCAGTTGCAGAACATGAAGGGTAGAAGTATACCTTATTCATTGCTTAAGAAAATCCAGTGGGTTCTCCATAAATTGACTGCCAACTTGAAAGGACATGCATAATTATTTTTCTGTTTTTTTCTAAGAAGGGAGCAATTTACATTAGGTTATCATATGTGTCTATCTTCAGCATGCTTGTGGACATAAGGCAGTGGTTCCCAACCTCTGGGCCATGGCCCACTGGTGGGCTGCGAAACCTAAAATAAGGTCTGCGGCTCTAGATTATTAAATATAATTTTCTGTGGGTGAGCAGATGGCAACTACTGAATGGCATATGTTCTGTATCAGAAACTAGAGCTGATGCGGTCTATCCAATGCAATTTTCCGAATCAGCACCCCAAATAACCAAACTGAATCTAAAGTTGACCAAAAACTGATTTGTAACCCTTTTGGTACTAATGTTGGAGAGTGGTCCCTAGTCAAGTGGTCCCTGGTCAAAATGGTCCACTGACTTGGGAACCACTGACTTATGGTGAATTCTATAGTTTTTTTCCCCAGGTTTTGACAGTCCTTTTCTCTGAAATAAAGCCTTCAGCAAGTCCTAACTAAGGCTGACCCTGCTGAGCTTCCAAGACCAAGGGTTCCCCAATTTATTTGCTCATGGAACCCTTCAGAAGACCCCCCATAGACCCCTAACTCTGTCCCTAAGCATTGTGAACCCACAAACCTTTTCCTTCTTTCATCTACTCATATTGCCATTTTTAAAATATAATGTAGGTTTGGAAATAAAGATATCACAATTTTGTTTTTACAGCAGAAGTACATTTAATTTCAATAAGATGGTCAAACTTCCATATACATTTTAAAATAAGTTTTTCTTTTGTGATGCTTTCTTGGAACGCTATAGTTCCACAGAATGCAGTTTGGGAACCACTGCTTTAGAGTATTTGAATTACGCTTAATAATGGTGGAGGTTCCTTCTTTGGAGACTTTTAAGCAGAGGCTGAATGGCTATCTGTCAGGGGTACTTTGTATGTGCTTTTCCTTCTTCTTGGCAGGGGGTTGGACTGGATGGCTAATGAGGTCTCTTCCAACTCTAGCATTCTATGATTCTATGATTCTAATTTGAGCAATCTTTTCCATGATATTTTAATATCCATTTTTCTATTCTCTCCTTTGGTGAAAATGGTGACTCAAGTCCATGAATCGCAATGAATTACTGAAGCATATGTGTTCTTTTAAGGCCAATTATCCATGACAAAGTAGTAGCCTTTTGGACAAAGAATTGGTGTCAGCACTGGGCCAATGCCAGACATTCTTGTGACTGAAACCTCCATCATCCCTAGCCAGTATATTAAGTGGAAAGAGATGAAGGAAGTTGAAATTCAACAACATCTGTAAATCTAGAAGATACACATTCTTAGCTAGGGCGGAAACTGAGTGTGGCTGTCACTCGGTCATGCTTACATAACTCTGCTTACAGTGTGTAGTGCTAAACTTTTTGTTTAGTTAGTTTTGTACCATGACACTTTCCCAGGGCCACTCACCAAAAAGAATTTTAAAATGCAAGCAGTGATATTGATTTTTTTCAGCAATCTAGTTCTAGGAATTTGTATTTCTGCCTGCATCAAATCTATTATAAAGTGAATGGATCTGAATTGCCTGTTCAAGAGCAAACCATCTCAAAATACTTTGTGTTACAACAGGGAGAACAGAATAATGCATGATTGCTCAGAAAATCTATACTAGCTATGATGACTCCAATCACCCTGTTTCTTTTCTCTGCTTTTGTTCTTGATGGAGTGTTTAAACTGAGATTTACCTACTGAGATTGAAAACTCTTTTCTTGCTGTTGGGTTTATGGGTGTTTCCACCATTCTAATATCCCTTTCTGCTTCCCTCTGTCTCCCATTGCCCCATCTTCCTTCTCCTCCAGGATGCGTCCAGTCCAAAAGTCCTTGTGTGTGCTGATGGTGCTGACAGCATCTCTGGCATTCCTCTACCTTCATGTGTGGTCACCAAAGCCCTATAGCACAGTGGACCTGAGACGTGGGCCTGTCCGGATGCCGGAACAGCTGTTGAACAGCCACCTCCTGGTGCCGGAGAAGAAATATGCCCACATTGCTTTTCGGATAAAGGAGGAGATTCTGGAGTAAGGAGCCTGTTCCCTATCTTGTCCACTGCTCTCCTGAGTACCAGGAGATCAGTCCCTGGGTTTATAATAGCAATTGCTGATGAAATGTGGCTCCTATTTGTCTTTGGGAGGCTTTTTGGGAGGCTTTTTAAAAGTTTATTTATGCTACAGCAGGTTAAGGTATATTTTTGGGGATTTTTCTATTTTAAAAAACCAGAACCCTGAGAGCTACCCATTGGAGCATCATGTCAAGGACATAATATTAAATCTAAGCCCAAGCTCTGACTGGGGCTAACATTCCTAATGCACAAAATACATTCCTAGCCTAAGCTTTCTCTTCTTCTTCCTTTCAGCAACATAGGTAGGCTGGTGTATTTATGTCTGCCCCTTTCGTTCTTTTTTGTATGGTGTTGTTAGAAGTTAAATTAGAATCATTGTTTCTCTTTTCCAGGAAATTCACAGATATTCTTTGTTTCTCTGTCCCTTTAAGTCAGTTCCAAGTTGTGGTGACCTCTCTTGGAGATTCCCACTGAGGGGAATCTGAAGCTGAGAGCATACGGCCACCCTAAGATTGCCTAGTGGGTTTCTATGGATGAACAGAAATTCAGTTTCTGGTCTTCTAGGGCCCTTCCACACAGCCATATAACCCAGAATATTAAGGCAGAAAATCCCACAATATCTGCTTTGAACTGGGTTATTTGAGTCCACACTGCCATATATTCCAGTTTAAAGCAGATAATGTGGGATTTTATTCTGCCCCACACAGCAGAATAAAATCCCACATTATCAGCTTTAAACTGGAATATAATCCCACATTATCTGCAGAATAAAATCCCACATTATCTGCTTTAAAGGGGCCCCAGAGTCCTGATGCAGCTTTCAAACAATTACACTAAGCTGGTTCTTTTAACCTTCTGACCACTTCTGCATTAGAAATCTTCCAGTTACAGTTCCCTCTCCACTTTTTTTTCTCGTGTCAGGAGTGACTTGAGAAACTGCAAGTTGCTTCTGGTGTGCAAGAACTGGTCGTCTGCAAGGATGTTGCCCAGATGTTTTGGTGTTTTACCGTCCTTGTGGAAGGCTTTTCTCATGTCCCCTCTTCATTGAGAAGCTACATATCTGAATGACAGTAGATGAATTCATCTTGAGAATAATGCACATGTATGTATGTAAGACTGTATCTTTGGCAAGAGGCGTCCTATAATGTCAACAACATCCAGATCCTTTGTGACACACATTTTATTTATTATTCTTGAAAGTATACTGATTCATTGATGTATGCCTTTTGCAGAGCAGAATGGGTTTCCTATATCTTAAATTGATTAGGCATACAGCCAGTGCTGAAAATCCTTCTGATAAACATATTGACCTGGGCCTCTCTCTTCACAGACTCCTTCCGAAGAACTCCTGCAAGTGTGAGGTGGAGCCGAGTATCAACCTCCCATTCCAGAAACAGCTGTTTGGTCATGTCTATTCTATAGAATTTGCAAATGCCTTTAAGCCTTCTGAACTTCCCAAAATCAACAGCAATCGAGAACAGGAATACCGCAGTTACCGACAGAGGTGAGTTCCAGGATTGGTGTTCTCTTTGTACACATAGTGCAGCCACAGAAGTCAGAACTGCAGAGAAAAAGGAGGCTGATTTGGATTTCAAGTGAACATTCACTGAGTTTGGATATGGGTCTTTCCCTTAAGCAGGATAAACTTTAAAAAATATATCAATTTGTTTGGCTTGTTTACAAAATATGGGCTGTAGAACTCATCCCCACCACAATAATATAGAATTCACAACAGATTATAGCTCTGACTATATTGGATTGCTGGTTGTGTCCTTGGAAGGGGCAGGGGTGAATCTAGCCTTCAAAGGATCTATCCAGGATGCCAAAACTATTTGAGGAATAGTGTTCAACAATGGGTAGTTATTTCCAGATACGGACTAAAAACTGGAGCTGACGCATCAGCTCACTGCCTGCAGCCCCAAACTACAAAGAACTGCAATGGACTATTAAAGCTTAGGAACTAAAATAATTCAACAGCTCAGCAATGCTTTAAAACTAGAGGCTCTATAAAATATCATCTGTCTTGGTTTCACATCCCATTTGTTTATTTGTGAATACAGGGAAATTCTTAATGTTGGCTCACTTCTAAATCAATGGCAATACTGACAAAGCAAAACTGAGTAGCATGGCTGGTCAGTCATACTGTAAACAATCCCTGGGATATTATTCAAAATAGCATGTAGCTGAGATCTTCCATCAAAACCACTAAATGCTCCTTGTTCAAAACCACTAAATGCTTCTTGTTCATTATGTAACCCATAATGAGGGCGCTGCTACCAAAAATCCCTTTTTTCTTGCCACCGTTCCCCCAAAAATGCTTCCCTGTTGTGTTAATTGTGTTATTCAGTAAGTAACACAGCTCTCGCAGTTCTTCCCAGATTCAAGCTCGGCAACTCACAAAGAGCTGACAGTCCCATTAAAGAACCAGCACAAGATGTTTTCTGGAATCAGTTCTGGTGCCCAAGTTGACAGCCACAATTTCCAATGCTCAGTTTTTGAAATAAAAATAGCTGTAAGAGTACCTTGACTTGCCAATTCTTCCATTAGTTGTCATAACTTCCTTCACTAGTAGCTTAGTGTATTCATAGGTAACAATGCTTATATATCTGTGCTGTGAAAAACATCACTTGCTGATTGAACTACCGCTGAGGGTCCCAGAGTAGGCTAGGGTTGCATTTCCTTTTTAGATATTTGTCTAGTCAGTCGGCAGCTATTCCTAGAGCAAGTTCCATTAATAGAACTTGCTGACTAGTCAGTCTTGGATTTGTCTCACAACTAGCCTTGCCAAATCAATTGTTGATTCAATTCACCGAGGACCCAAGAGGAAAACGGTAGTTTTCCAGGTGGAGTTTTGTGCGAATTGTTCACAAGGAATCCATTATACAATTTCTTTTGTGTAGAGATATTGGGCTCCAATTCCCATTGTTTCCAGCCAGCACAGCCAGTGACAAAACCAAGATGACAATGGGGATAGGATCTGGGTCAAATACAATGATACTGAACAGATTCTCACAGTTCTAACCACATATGGGGTCTTCCGGGTGTGCACTTTTCCTGTATCCATGCAGACAAGAAGGCAGGATATATGTAGGATATAAAGGTAAAGGTAAAGGTAGTCCCCTGACATTAAGTCCAGTCATGTCTGACTCTGGGGTGTGGTGCTCATCTCCATTTCTAAGCCGAAGAGCCAGCGTTGTCCGTAGACACCTCCAAGGTTTTGTGGCCAGCATGACTGCATGGAGCGCCGTTACCTTCCCGCCGGAGCGGTACCTATTGATCTACTCACATTTGCATGTTTTCGAACTGCTAGGTTGGCAGAAGCTAGGGCTGACAGCGGAAGCTCACGCCGCTCCCCGGAATCGAACCTGTGACCTTTCGATCAACAAGCTCAGCAGCTCAGTGCTTTAATCCACTGCGCCACCGGGGGCTCTATGTAGGATATATTATTTACCTATTCTCTTTGGATCTGCCTGCTAGCTCTCTGAAAGTTATAGTAGGATATATTATTTACCTATTCTCTTTGGATCTGCCTGCTAGCTCTCTGAAAGTTATAGTAAAACCAATCAGCTAAGTGACACCCTAAGGTATTGTGAAACAAGGCAGATCTTATCTGGTTGAAGGAGGAGGCATTCACATAAACTTTGGAAAGTCTGAAAAGAATTCACTTGGAATTAAAAGGTGGGGTGGAAGGGTGTACAGCAAAGACACTTCAAATATAAACAGCAGGGAGGTGGAAGGAGAGATGTTACTCATGGCTCATTGAATATAAATTGAATGAGCTTGTTTTCTGCTTGTTATCATGCCTTGCTGCCATATAAAATGGGAATGGCACATTAATCCAAAAGGAAGTATTTAATATGATTTGATTCAGATGTATTATGTTTTAATATGCTTTAATGTTTATATTGGAAATTGTTTATTGTACTTTTAAAGGTTGTATATTATTTGATGTCATTTCCTATCGCTGGTACAATAAACAAGGAGAAAGAGGGAGAGAGGGAAGGAGGGAGGAAAGGGTGGAAGGAGAAAGAGGGAGGTAAGAAAGGTAGGGAAGGAGGGAGGAAAGAGAGAAGGAAGGATGAAAGGGGGAAGGGAAGTAAGGATGGAAGGAGAAAGAGGGAGATAATAAAGGTAGGGAAGGAGGGAGGAAAGAGAGAAGGAAGGAAGGATAAAAGGGTGGAAGGGAAGGAAGGAGAAATGAGAGGTAAGGGAGGGAGGGAAGACGGGCAGAAAGAGAGAAGGAAGGATGGGATTGTGTGAGAGGGGAGGGCCTGAGAAAAGAGCCAAGAGGCCGCATCCAACCCCCGGACCTCGGTTTGCCCATATCTGATCTATTGGTTATGTCTTAATAATACATTGAATTACTGTGGGTCAGGCCTGCCATTCTTTGTCCTTTCAAAAATACAGTATCCTTAGTCAAAGATAGCTAGCATGCATTGTTCCACCTCAGACATTTCATGCTCTTTCCAGCTCTACAAAAAGGAAACCTTTGATATATCAAGTATACTAGAAATACAAAGAGCGGTCTTTAAATTCGCACCTTTTCAAGCTTTTTCTCCTATTCCCAGAAGCTGATAAAGGATGTCTTTTTGCCAATGACCAGTTCTTCTGTTTCATTGAGCCTATTTGACTCTGAGATCTTAACTAAGCGCAGTAGAAAAGGGGAAAAAAAGCCTCCTATTCATTCTTTTTCAGTACTTTCATCAAATAATAAATAAACTTTATTTGTATTCTGCCCTATGTTCCCAAGGAGAAACAGGGTGGATTCCAACAAACAAAAGCACAAAAGCAAATATTCCATGCATTAAGACAGCAATAAAGACAACTACATTAAACAACCCAACCCAAATCCCAAAGCAACCTGACACCAAACAACAAATTATAAACATAAGACCTAAAATTACATAATCAGTTAAACAATAAAAATTATCTCAACATAAGGAGCCCTTGGTGGTGCAATGGATTAAACCCTTGTGCCAGCAGGACTGCTGATCAAAAGGTTGTTGGTTTGAATCCAGAGAGCTGGGCGAGCTGCAATCTGTCAGCTCCAGCTTCTCATGTGGGGACATGAGATAATCCTCCCACAGAATGGTAAAACATCCGGGTGTCCCCTGGGTGATGTCCTTACAGACGGCCAATTATCTCACACCAGAAGTGACTTGCAGTTTCTCAAGTCGCTCCTGACATGAAAAAAAAATCTCAACATAAGAAACATGAACCTTAATTTATAAAACTACTAAAGGTTCATTGAAAGATTTAAATTAATTATAGAGCTATAATGTCCTCAGTGCCAGCTGAGCCGACAGGCCAGAGTACAATGGTGATATCCGATCAGAGGTGTATTAGTTGACTGTAATTAACTAGTCCTCTTCCTCTCCATATGCTTGAGAGCACAAGTGGATTTCTAATTGTTTTTTAAAGGAGAGGAGGGAGGGGCTGTTTCTATCTCTTTAGGGAAGGCGGTCTAGAGGTGAGGGGGAATCATGGAGAAGACCCCTCTCTTGTTCCCACCAGCTGTACTTGAAACGGCGGTGGGACCGAAAGCAGGCCGCCTACACTGACCACAGTGTCCCAGTTGGTTTATAAGAGTAGATGCAGTTTTTTCGAATAGCCTGGGCCTGAACCATTTAGGGCTTTAAAGGTAATGCCTAGCACTTTGTGGTTGCCTTCATTTCTTTGTGGGGAGATACAAATAAAGATTATTATTATTATTATTATTATTATTATTATTATTATTATCATTATCATTATGCCTAACCTTTGTTAGAAAAGTTGCATTTTTATTTGTTCTTTCTTATTCTGGTTCTTTTCTTACTATATTATTCCTATTTACCTTTGTGTTTGGATCTTTTCATGTATTAGAAAATGCTTAATTACTTAAATTGGATATAAGGTGGAATAACTTTTTTTATAAAGAAACTGAAAAAAAAGAAAGCAAGAAATCAATTTTTAAAATCAATTTATGTATATTTGTTTGTAGTTTCCACTTATATGTAATTAGAGATGTATGTTGTGTAGTTTGATATGTAATTGTTGTTTAAGTATGTTTGTGTTTATGTGTGCATAATAATGGTTGTTTTCCTTTATTTGTGTTTTTCTCTGTTGAAAATTTCTATTTAAAATATCTATTTAAACATAAATACTCAATTACAATTATTTTAAAAGATGGGGAGTAACTCTCATACTTCTAGAGGTAAACAGGCACTCCTCAAGTTATGAACAAGATAGGTTCTGTAGGTTTGTTCTTAAGCTTAATTTGTATCCAACAGGTATTTTTATAAGTGTAGCTCCAGCCAAAAATATATATTATTTAGCTTTGTATACAAAGGGAAGGGTTAACACCCATGTGGTGTTTGTTTTGCAGTCTCTGCCCCTGTTCAGAAGATTTCACCTGACTTTGTGTCCCTTTAATAATTGGATTTTGAAATTTTTGGCTTGTTATAGAAGTAAGGATTGGTGAAAGGGTTTCAGTGGAAACACCTTTTCCCCATAACAGCTCTTCCAGGAATGAATTTCCCTTCCTAGGGGTAGATTTCTCTCATTTCCTGTTGCCTCATCTCCGTTGTTAATGATGAGTTGTTTATAAATCAGGGATGGTCTGTAATGCAAATGCAATGAGACTTGTTCCAAGTGTCGTCTGTTTAGTTTTTAGATTTTAACATTCTGTCTATGAACAGTGGAAGCTGCAAGTGAAATCATACAGACAACCAACCTGTTGCTTTCACTTGCCCTGAGAAGGAAATGCTTGGCAGGCAGAATCTTGAACTGGGTGGGGGCGAATCCTTGCTGCTTGCCAGATCTTCCTGGGTATGTATTTCTTAAATGCCAGGGAGCCCCTTTTCTAAAGCAGGCACTAATCTCCCAAAGTTTTCTTCCTTCACTTCATTCTCAGGTCACAATCCCCAGCTGACCAAGTCCTCATAGTTCGAGCCAACTCACCTCTGGAGTATCCAGCTCAGGGAGTGGAGGTCCGTCCCCTCCAGACCATTCTCATCCCAGGTGAGTCTCTTTTCCCCTCATGTGTGCACTTTTCTGTTGTGAAGGTGGTGACCAACTAAAGTGGGTAGGGTAAGTGGGGAAGAGGAGGGTGCTGTTATTGGACTCAGTGTGCCTCCTCACAGTGGCACCACAGATAGTAAAGACCCACTGACTTACTTGTGCCTTTGTATTCCTCAGGCCTGAGCTTGCAGGCAGCTGAAAGGACATTGTATCGGGTAAGTTAGCTCTGGGGCACAGAAATCTGAGAACAGAGAATACAAGTTGGCTGTGTTTCTTCCTTGTTAGTTGCTAACAGCCATATATTTTTAAACAATTGTTACTTTATGCATGGCACTCCTTTAGGCTGCAGATGAAGGTTGTGTGATTGCATACTTTCCCCAGGGATGGAGAACCCCCTGTGCTGGGTGACAGGGTGAGTTAGCCAAATTAGGCAGCTGTTTTGATTGTCCCCAAAGGGCCTAGAATGCTAATTCTGGCCATAGGATGCAAAAATAATGGGACTATGTGGAGGCAGGATGCCTTGGATACTTTGGCTTTAGAAGGGAGTACCATTTGCCATTCTGTTTTCGGACTTTGCATATAGCATCTGTAAGAGAGAGAGAGGAGTTCTTGTGACCGCCTTTCCATATGTTCCATTCTGCTACATGCAGTTGATTCGCGTAACAGACATGAGAGCAAAGCATTCAAATGTGTAAACTCCATCCGATGACCTGACATGGTGCATTGTGTTTATTTACAGCTTAATTCTGTAAGAAAGTGGTTTCCAGCTGGATTCTGCTGAATGCAGAAACTGGCCTTGTTTCTCTAACAAATAGCCAGTCAGTATTATCTCTTTGGGAGATCTCTGATAAAGAGCCACAGTATGAAATCACAAATAGTTTGGTACTATGTGTAAATGTGTATGTATTTATTTATTAAGAGCATTTCTATCCCGTCCTTCTCACCTCTGAGGAGGGACTCAGGATGGCTACCAACAGGCAGCATTCGGTGCCAAACAATACACAGCATTAAATACATTTAACCTACATTAAAAACATAAAAAATACATAAAAACAATTCGCCATTTCATGTCATCGTCCAAATAATCCATAGCCATCAGTTCAATAGTCTGTTAGAACCATCTTCAATCCATTGCCTTCAACAAACTGAGCTCTTTAGCCACAAAAAGGCCACACTTTGTTGAAATTCATTAATGTGTATTAGCAGGGCAGTGGGAGTGGTGGGAGAAGGAAACCAGTTTTGTACTAAATATCCATATTTCTTTATGTGCCAGAATCCATTTTGGGGTGGTGGATTTACTCCTTACTCTGACAATCTGTGATCTATAGATGGATTTTGGAAAGGTCCTATTTCCTTCCCATGTCGACAGTTGATAAAATAAGTTTTAGAATTTCATACTGGCTCATTACTCCTTGATGTTGCCGGTAATTTTTAAAAATACCCTCCTCTGACAGGTGAACTTGACAGCAACAATGGGAACCTTTGATGTGGCTGCAGAAGTCGATGGTGTCAAGGTGGAAGGAGAAGGTGGGATGCTCCTCGCCATGTGGGCATCCCAGCTGGACAATCTCAACCGACAAATGCAGTTTGTCACCTACACCAACACGCTCTTCCATCCCAACACAGCAGATACAGGTGGGTGTGGTGTAATAATAATAATAATAATAATTTATTTATATCCCACCACTATCTGCCCAAGGGGACTTGGGGCGGCTTACATAAGGCCAAGCCCAACAACACATCAACACATGGTATGAAGGTAGCCACTGCTTTCCTCATTGGGACAAGAGCAGAGATCTCACAAGACAGAATCAAGTACATTAGGGATTGGTGACAGACCACGTATGGGGGATGATTGTTGTAATATAAACAAGGCTTTGAGGGAAGGTCAACTGTCTAAAAAGCGTTATACATTTTTAGAACTGCTCAAATGTCTCCTCTCTTGGTGTTCCTTTGAGGAAAAGTGCCAAAGAACCATTACCATTTCTCCACCCAGACATTCAGAAAGGCCAGGAGCTGCACTATGGTGGAGAGAGAAAGGGGTGCGTGTGTAGGGGTGTGTGTGCTTCTTTTAGGTTTCCTGAGATGGACTATGCCCACACCTTTACACAAAGAAGGCAATGGGTCCTTTTTTTGTAGGAGTTAAGGTACAATATGTGCATTGACCCATGGATGTCATCCTAGGTTTTTGGGTTTGGTTTTTTAATTAAAATGTTTAGACTTACACACACGAGAAGCCATGGTAGCACAATGGGTTAAACCCTTGTGCTGGCTGAACTGCTGACCTGAAAGTCAGCAGTTTGAATCTGCGAGGCAGGGTGAGCTCCCATCTGTCAGCTCCAGCTTACCATGCGGGGATACAAGAGAAGCCTCCCACAGGTGTCCCCTGGGCAACGTCTCTGCAGTGAGCCAATTCTCTCACACCAGAAACTACTTGTAGTTTCTCAAGTCGCTTCTGACATGATAAAAAAAACATACACATGAGTATGTATTGTAGGTAATTGTGATTGTTATATATTCACAATCCCTATGTAGCTTCTAGTTTAGGATTGGGATGGTGGCCTTGTGCATCCCCACTTACTAGTTAGCAGCTACTATGATGAATGTAGGTCTGTTCTACAGTTCCTCAGGAAACAAGTGATCTTGTGCTAGCAATCTCTGAAAGGGAATTGTCACAGGGATTCTACTTCTGCCTGTTACATCAGAGATGTAAACAGCTGGTGTAAACAGCTGTTTCTCAAGTAAAAGGGAAGAAACTCCCATGAATAACAACAGCTACTTCCTAGGATGTTGTCCCACGCACCACAACCCCCCTCCCCGATTTCTAAACATTTTCAATGCAGAATAGAAACCATGTCCAATGGAGCTCATCATATGACGTAGGAGGACCTGTTTCCCGTGTCCATCATGCCCAGGGGCGGCTCAACCCATTACGCAAAGTAAGCATTTGCAGCATAGTTGATTTTGCCCAGGGGCACTCTTGAGGTGTTCTTGGGGGAAAATAGACCTTGACATATGCGAGTTGTAGTTACTGGGATGTATAGTTCACCTACAATCAAAGAGCATTATGAACTCCACCAATGATGGAATTGAACCAAATATGGCACACAGAGCTCCCACAACGAATAGAAAATATATATCAGTGATTGGTTTGGGGGGGGGGGGGAATACTGTTTGCTTACCGTTGAAAATTACCTAGGGCCGCCTCTAATCATGCCTCATCAGAAAAGTGTCTCTGAGGTGCCTGGCACCCGGAGGGGAGGGTGGCACAAGCAGATATTATTTTCTGAGCTCATGAATTGCTGCAACTGGGGAAAATGAGGGGAAACACATGGGGTAGGATCTGTCAAATTTGCCCATGCTGAATCACTTCACCGGGAGCTCTCGGTGGTGCAGTAGGTTAAACTGCTGAGCTGCTGAACTTGCTGACTAAAAGGTTGGTGGTTCAAATTCAGGGAGCAGGATGAACTCCTGCCTTTAGCCCAGCTTCTGCCAACCTAGCAGTTCAAAAACATGCAAATTTGAATAGGTACCGCTCTGGTGGGAAAATAACGGCGCTTTGTTTTTCTGTCATTTTTCCTTCATAGTAATCTTGGCTTTTGAAATTGCACTATGGCTAGAGACTAATGAGATTGGGAGGAAGGAGAGGAGCCCAGAGAAGGGTTGTGTGTGTGCAGATCAATGCCTCCTGTTATCTTGCAGGCTTCATGTGTATCCTGCCCTAACTGTCTCCTCAGGAGTAGCAGGATTAGAAGGGAAAGTCTAATAGCTCCAAAGTTATTTCCTCAATTTTTAATGGAGTGGGTAGGAACTGCATTCTGTTGTGTGATAAACCTAAAAATTAATGGTTTGGGGTGAAAAGGCAAAAAAGAGCAACCTATGATGTGGGGTGGTATTTCTATTTCTAAGCCAAAGAGACAGTGTTGTCCATAGACACCTCCAAGGTCATGTGGCCAGCATGGCTGCATTGAGCGCCATTACCTTCCTATGGCATCTATTGATCTACTCACATTTGCATGCTTTTGAACTGCTAGGTTGGCAGAAGCTGGGGCTAACTGTGGGAGCTCACCCCGCTCCTTGGATTTGAACTGCTGATCTTTTGGTCAGCGAGTTCAGCAGCTCAGCGGTTTAACCCGCTGCACCACCAAGGGGCTGCAATAGGACATAATGCCATGGATATATGATGGTCCTCCCAGGCCATGTGGGATAACGTCCTTAGAAAGTGTGGACTGGGCTGGGATTTAGTACATTGCAGTTTAACCATGATGGTTACACATTTATGTCGACCATATCGGATTCCAGCCAATGTTAACAGGGCTCACTCATGTGATATTGTGAGTAATAATAATAATATTAGCATAGCACACCAATGTTGTTGTGTTAGTTGCTATGAAGCTACATTAAATGTTCTTTAAGAATCTCAAAACCCAGCTGTGTCTACTTTCTTCTCTTTGTTAGAATGCCTTTCCTTTCATAATTTCCAGTTTGTGTGGCTGAAGTTGCATAATGGGATTATTTATTTCAAAACATAAGACAAACTGGTTCTGAACAAAAGCATGTATAACCCAGCATTTTCTTCATCTTGCAGCCAGCCCACTGCTTCTTGGAAACCCATAGGCCAAGGCATGGGTGTGATCATACCCTCCAGTATGATATACAAGTAAATGATATACAGGCAAACCTCACTAATACAGCAGTTTAGTTCTAGATTGCTGCTTTAAAGTTATTCACCGTGTTAGTTTTTACCTGCCAGTGCATATAAAAGCTTCTGAAAGATATTTGCACTGTATTAAGTGCTCAAAATAGCCTTCTGCTGTGTTGACTAAGCATCCGGTATTTCAATAGAGTTGATCCTTTTGCTCCTTCATACCAACTGCCTTCATTATTTGTATGGTATATTATAAATATGTATTACAAATATGCCATGGCAACAATTTTATGCTTATATATATATATATATATATATATATATATATATATCTGTTAATCTTATGGTTATGTTGTTTTTTACTTCTTATGTTTTGTGATGTTACCTGGGAACCGCTCTGAGTCCCCTCGGGGAGATGGAGCGATATATAAATAAAGTATTATTAGTATTATATACCATACAAATATGCCTTTGTACTATGCAAATATGACCTCTTTAAGACACCTTGTATCTCTATATTGGGAAAAAGATGGGATGAAATTAAAATAAATTAATTTACATTTTAAAAAATGAGAATAATTGAGAGCATGAAATTTTTATGTGTTGTCGAAGGCCTTCATGGCAAGAATCACTGGATTGCTGTGAGTTTTCTGGGCTGTATGGCCATGTTTCAGAAGCATTTTCTCCTGATGTTTCACCCACATCTATGGCAGGTATCCTCAGAGGTTGTGAGGTCTGTTGGAAAATAGGCAAGTGGGGTTTATATATCTGTGGAATATCCAGGGTGGGAGAAAGAACTCTTGTCTGCTTGAGGCAAGTGGGAATGTTGTAATTGGCCAGCTTGATTAGCACTGAATGGTCTTGCAGTTTCAAAGCCTGGCTGCTTCCTGCCTGTGGGAATCCTTTGCTGGGAAGTGTTAACTGGCCCTTATTGTTCCTTGTCTGGAATTCCCATTCCTTCTGAGTGTTGCTCTTTATTTTCTGTCCTGATTTTAGAGTTCTTTTTAATACTGGTAGCCAGATCTTTTTCATTTTCATGGTTTTTCCCTTTCTGTTGAAATTGTTCACATGCTTGTGGATTTCAGTGACTTTCTCCCACCCTGGACATTCCACAGATATATAAACCTCAACTGCCTAGTTTCCAACAGACCTCAAAACCTCTGAGGATGCCTGCCATAGATGTGGGGTTTTTTTTTCATGTCAGGAGCAACTTGAGAAACTGCAAGTTGCTTCTGGTGTAAGAGAATTGGCTATCTGCAAGGATGTTGTCCAGGGGTGCCCAGATGTTTTTGATATTTTACTATCCTTGTGGGAGGGCTCTCTCAGGTCCCCACATGGGGAGCTGGAGCTGACAGAGGGAGCTCATCCGCGCTCTCCTTGGATTAGAACCTGTGACCTGATGGTCTTCAGTCCTGCTGGCACAAGGGTTCAACCTATTACACCACGGGGGCTCCTATAGAGGTGGGTGAAATGTCAGGAGAGAATGCTTCTGGAATATGTCCATACAGCCCAGAATACTCTCAGCAACCCAGTTTTTAGTATGAACTTCCATAGATTTCAGTCTGCATAATGGCAAGAACCTAGTGTCACCTGGAGTCTGTGAATGCTTATGCAAAACATTCACTTTTTCTCTTTGGCATCTTAAAGATGCCAAAGAATTTCTTTATGACCTTTTATTCAGAAACAAACCTGCAAAGGTGTCTTTGAACATTACCTCCTTTTTACCGGGTCCCTTGGTTTATATAAGTTTTGCAGCCAGATATGAGCATGTTGTCGTTTCACTTTTTCACCTGCGTAGGCCGTTTTAGGCTAGGCACAGAAATAAAAATGAGAAATAACTAAAAATCCCAGAATATAATACTGAGGCACAAAGTGCAGAAATGGCTGCTGGGGAAATAAAATGTGGGCTAGAACGGTCTTTGATCAGATCCAGCATGACTCTTTTATAGCCTTTACGTTTTACACTCTTTGTATAACAACCGTTTCT